CTTAATTTCGTATTAAACGACTTAACAGAACACTGCTCTGTTGTAGGTTAAAAGCAAAGGTCGCTATGGAAGAGTTTACGTAGCAGAGTTGCGTAACAAAGGTCAGAATGAAGTAAGGATGGAAGTTAACGTGAAAGGACCAAACGAAGCAGCTAAATACGATGATGTTCGGTCACTAGCTGATGAAGCAAAAGTCATGATGGCCCTCGGTTGGCATCCAAATGTACTAGGTCTTATCGGAGTTGTTATTGAAAATATGCCACGGTTTGTGTAAAATGAAATCTAGAAGGGAAATGATTCTTTTCTCTATTATTAGGAACTAGTAGATGAAATCTCGGGCAATCGTTTACTAAAAATTCTTTTTTTAATTTAAAATATGAAACCACAATAAAACACTTGGAGAAGGCCCTACTTAGAATTAAATTAGCAAATAATTTCGCTCGTAAGCGAAAAAATGATTCTGGACTCTTTCACTACCCATGATTCAGAACTCAGATATTAAAAAACTAATCCAGTCTAATCTCTGAACCTGTGCATTTATTGAGAAATACTACGTAAGCATTACGAAACTTAGTATATAACTGAACTTATGAAAAGCTTCAATAAACTTCTTAAAATCTGACATTTTTCCATTTCTCAGCCTGAGTTTACAGAGGAGGCGACTTATATGTAGTAGTGGAAAACACGTTGGATAATTTGAAAATATTCCTGCACAAACGCAAAGAATACTTTATTAACGAGCTAGGAAGCAAAGATGAAAGTGATCAGAATCCATCAAAACGAAGCAAACTAAAACGAGAAGTGAGTTAAATGTACGATGAAAACAAAGTTTTGACTGCTTTGAAAACTTTTTATTTACAAAAGCTAAATTGTGCTGTAGTCAGCTTCAGACTTTCCTCCTCTGACTTCATTTCAAACTTTCATATTTGGCATTCTTTGTTATTCATCTCATAGATGCCAAATCATTACTGCTTCTTTTAATAAGTATGGTCCTCATTCAATCTTATTCATTTGCGATTTACTACTATGAGTCTGGGTAATTAATCATTTCCAGGATTTTATCCAATCATTTTCTTCTCAACTACTTTTTTAGAAGATGCACAAAACACTTGGGCCATCAATATCAACAACAACACTTTGTTCATTTGCATATCAAATTGCAAATGGCATGGAATTCCTAGCGCGCAAAAATGTTTGCTTTTTCTTTAACATCTAAATTTTGCAAAAAAAAGAGAAAAAAATTGAAAAGCTGTGCAGAGTGTAAAAGCATAAATTATAGTGCGTACACCGAGATCTAGCTGCTCGGAACATTTTATTACGAGAGAATGGAGTTATTCGAATTGCGGGTTTTGGTGAAGATCGTCAGTGGGACTATCAGTATCTGATGCAAGAAATCGAGTATTCCTCACCGTATAAAATCATGGCACGTGAATCAATCAGCGAATCACGATTCTCTGAACAAGTATGAATGAATCCTGATTCCTTCGTAAAACCGCAACTCGAAAACGAAATTTGATTTAACTGCTGAATTTCTTTATTGCCTTGCTTCATTTTCTGCTAATTTCGAAAAATATTTGATAAGATCAGACATCCTTAAATTCAAAGTTTTCATTAACAAATGACTAACTGAAAGTTAGGTAAGTTAGAGTCCTCATGATTTGCATATTTTGACGAGATTCAGACTGATGTTTGGTCATATGGAGTTCTGTTGTGGGAAATTTTCACGCTCGGTGGTGATCCACACGAAAACATTCACTCACCACAGAAACTTGCCGAATATTACCAGCGTGGAGGTCGACTTCGGAAACCTAATTATATGCCAGATAATGTGTAAGTTACGATATCCAAAACTTTAAATTCCTAATTACCTCTTACATTGATAATAATCACTACCTCCTTAGCACTACAGTTCCACTTACATGAGAAACTTCTAAAAGATACACGAAACTATTTGTAATAACGCATGCGTATCTAAATATTTCAACTCAGGTCTTCATTAATGTTCAATTGTTGGCACGAAGAACCAGCGAAAAGACTCTCATTTCTGAACTGCAGAACTATTACGCAAACAATTCTGAAAGAACGAAATTCACAGGTAGACCTTTAATAAGACACAGAATTTAGTTTACTGAATACAAAACTGTAGATGTCATAATTTTTCTCAGCGGCAAATGTTCCAAGTCAAAAGATGCTTCTTATGCAAAACTCTTGGAAATTAATAACCTGCGTGTAGTTATCCAGTCCAATAAAGAGTAATCAAGTTTTTATCCACCCTATTTCATTAAGAGATCTAAGAAGAATAATTATAGACTTTAATCTAACATTAAGTCCTCTGACTTGCAAAACCATCAGTGATTTTGATGTACAGCTTCAATACTTTCTTTTCAACTAACTTCATGCAAAGCTTTTGCAGTTTTTTTGCTGGCTTCAAAACCAACTGCATGAGGAATATACAAATATGCAAAAATATGTAGAATGGCGCGATGGTCCTGAGGAAAACAGTACCTTGAACATGACTGTATAGCTAGAAAATAAAAATTTTAGGAAATAGGCATCTTGCCGCTACTTGTACATTTGTTTGTAAATTAAAACTTAAATAAATGAAAATTTGGCTCAAATCTGATTTTTTAACACTTGAACGCGCTTTGTGATAAAACAATACTTGATAAAAATAAAAGTAACCAACCCAAACGTACTATTTTATCTTTTTTCTACTGGTACTATTTATTGCCTTGTATCATTGAATAAACTTTAGTACTACTCGCACTAATCTTGGAAGAACTCTCCACAATTAATGAAAATGATAAATAATACTTGACAATCATCAAACTATTTCCAAAAAAAGCTGATTAAACTTTATACACATAAGTTGGTTTCAAAATCAACAGTGCCCGAATTTGGACAACTTTATTATTTCTTTTAGCTTATGCTCCGGTACTCTTTGATAGCTGCCAACTTCTAGATGGATGTCAGCTTGACCAGAAGTAATGATTCGAATACTTTTGGAGAAACTTTGTAGTTCAGCAAGGGGCATATGACATTTGATAAGATATGAATCACCTAGAAATTCTGTTCCTTTATTTGACAAAACACCTCTTCGCTTATAAATTTCTTGGAGCGCCATATGAGCATAGTCTTCTCTTGCTGTAAAAACCTGCAATATCCATCAGAAATAAATAATTAATTGTTGATTTTATATTTTAAGCAACAATTTTACACGCTTTCCCATTAATTTCTTGAAAACTTAATTTATCAAAGCAGTCAAAAAGATAGGATCTTAAAAAATGGTAAACCTATTTAGCTTTGTTTTATCCCCACTGTCACGAAATATTAACATAAACTATTTTATAAATAATAAAGAGCAGTTTATAAGAATTTCTGAAAAAACATCAAGGCAAATATATAATTGCAAAGTTACCTCAACATTCATTATGGGTTCTAATAAATATGCGCCAGCCTTCTGTAATGCCTCCATGATGCACTTATAAGCAGCTGAAGATATTACTGCAGAATTAAGCCGTCCCCCACTAGCGACAAAATTTGTTAATATCACGGTGACATTGCAAACCATAAATCCGGCAACTGGTCCCGTATACAAAGCATTGGTACACCCTTCATTAATTGCATTCAACCAGTTTTCACGGATGCCAGCACCGGTATATTCATTATCTTCGTTCAAAAGAACTACGACCTTAAATCTAGTATGGAGAAGCATGAAATAAATATATTTAGAGGAATACTTTTTGTGATTAGATCTAGAGCAGTACGTTGACAATACAAAGCATCTAGTAGTTATATCGAATCCACAATATAGAAAGATTAGACATTATGACTTTTTGTTAATTTAAATGAATCACGTATGCTTGAAAGGAATTAAAATTTGAAAGTGTAAAATTCGTTTACCAGGTTAAATTGAACAATTTGGTTCCAAAATTTTTGAAATAAATAACAAAAAAATTTCTTTGTGAGCCAATAACTAGGAAAGAGAAACTAGCCTATAATCTGACTTTATATGGTGAATTTTCTAATAAATGCTTCTGGACAAGTAGGGCATATGCTTGACTAGTGTTTGTGATATTTTTTTGTACCTCTTAATCAAAAAGCGAATACCTAGTATGAAGCTATCTTCAGCTTTAATATGCTGCATAAATAATGTTATAACTCTTTTATGGCCAAAAGCTAGAACAAACCTCCTTAAATTTGCCACTTTTTTGGTTTGGTTTAAGAGTGAAAGTAATAGTGCATTCGTGTTTCATTTCGCTTTCACCAAATGTAGCTCCTACAGTTGTGGTGTGCGTAACTTCAGTCTCAATAACTTCTCTATAAGCAATCTGGAACGAAACTACAATCTCACAATTATTACAGGTATTTATAACTTCAACATCTTTATTTCTTACATGCAGAAAATAAGCAAGATTACAAACTTGCAACGATCCCACGAAAGCATTCAGACCATAGTCACGTTGAAGCCTATCTTTAATAACTTCAACATGCAATTCACCCATTGCTCCGACAATTGTTTGACCCAATTCATTATCAAAACGAACATGTAAGGAGGGATCATCCGCAGCTAATTCTTGTAATGCCTAAAAAATGAATAAGTTAAGAACTATGGAAGCAAACAAAAAAAAAGAATAAACTAAAACCTTGACAATCTTTAGGATGTTATGAAAATATTTGTAATAATAAAACAAAACTTTCTGTGGAATTGGTTTTTGAAATTCATACTCTATTCAAATAGATTAAAATGGAAACTTGTAATGAAACAAAATAAGTAAATAAATAACAATCTGAAATACCTTTTCAAACCTTATATTTGAGACATCAGAAGGTGCTTCAATAGTGCAAAAATAAACTGGATCAGGTGCTTCAATACCTGTTAGCAAAATAGACTCCATAGAATCTGCTGAACGTTGCAATGGAACTGCAGCCTTAACAACTTCTATTGATACTATGAATCTCCTGAATATAGCAATTCGAAAGATGCGAAAAATTTACTGAACAAAAAATATAGTACTTACATTTTGAAAAATCAAATTGCATTCTCCACTAGGTAACTGTATTTGACGACGAATGGTAGCTTGTTTAGCAGCTTCTTTACTCCCAACCAATGTGTCCCCTGTTACTGTCGTCTTTAGGCCCGTTAGAACAGCAATATTGCCTGCCTAAACCGTGAATAAATTAAAATTGAGTACATAAGTTCTTAAGACAACTTTCATAACTCCATAATTTAGTATTAAATAAAAAATAATTTTGAGTCCCTGCATAAACAAAATGTGACAATTCAATATATAAATACAAATTTTTTTTTCCAGCACGTCAAAGAGATGTTCCTCTTTGCTCAGTAAAGTCAATATTACAAGCTAATTGTAAATAATGGAGGAAACAATCACAACCTTGACAACCGAAGTTAATTGTAGTTGATCACTGTGAGGAATATAAACATTGACTTTATTTTCTACTTTCTTTCTACTAACATTATACAAAGAATCCATGTTTTTTATTTCACCAGTATAGATTCGTACATAAGTCAGCGATCCAAATTTTTTGTCATGTGAAATCTAAAAACCACATGGAGTTTTTTTTTGGAAAAGTATGATTTTTTTTTT